TATTCCCCACTGTCTACACCAGGCCTTCTTAATTTTCCCCTCACTATATTCATTTCTCATATCTCTGTCTCTGACACATTTCTTTACTGTTGTGGACCTTTCTCTAATCTAGGTTCTTATCCTTGGAGCATCGTATCCAGAACCAAACATGGTGTTTCTGGAGTGGAGGAACTATAGTTTTATGGAAAACTCAGTGTGATGGCTTATAGCCCATCTCGACAGGTTATAAGACAATCTTGAACTCAAACCCTGGGCCTTCAATGAGGTTCAGCAAGGTGGGAAGAAACATCTTAATTGCCAGATGGATAAAATGGAAACATCAGATGAGTATCATCACATGTTACTCTTTTTCTTCCTAGCTGTGGACACAGTAATGTGAACAACCACTGTCTGCTCCACATACTGTAAATCTATCATGATGGATTGTATCTCCAGGCATCATAATGTGGAGCAAACCCTTCCTTCCTTAAGCAGCTTTTGCTAAGTATTTGTCATAGCAATGATACAAGTTACTTAGGCACATTGATATAAACAATATATATAAGCATTATATTTCCTTAACTTTGTCTCAAATAGCCAATGTAATACAGAGTTACAAGTTTATAAACAACACGAAAAGTTAATGTTCTCATTGATGACCATATCCCCCATTTACCTCCACCTTTAGTGAGATGATGTACTGTTATGTAGTCCAGGCTAACTTTAACCTCTGATCTTCTTGCCTCCATGTTTCTAAGGTTACAGGCACTTTTCCTCAAACTCAGCTGCCACCACTTCTGAACTCCATTCCCCCACTGCTTTATTTTTCTTCTGTGTTACCATGGCTTCCTTACATATGTTGTTGACATTATAGTCAGGGTGATATTTGGAATGTGTAAGTGAGCATTTTAAAGGAACAGGTACTCTAGAATATTTGCTTCCTAGCCTGAATCCTCAAATTGCTTATATCACATATGGGATCAAAATCTTGGCACAGCCTGGTGATTGGTTCTGTAAGATCTGGTCTCTGCTTGCTCTTCTACTCCTGGTAGATTTTGTTTCAGTAACACTAGCCTTTTTGCTTCTTCTGTATTGCCTTTGATGGTTATGACTTATGATTATCTCTGTTAAAGCACATGTTCTAATTTTCTGTACACTACTAATGCATTTATGTGATAATAACATGCCTTATAAAAAATACCTCCCGCTTTATGAAACAGGAGCATCTGCTAAACCTTACAGCCAGGTAAATAATACACCTTGAAGTCACTTAAAACTTAACCTGATATCCTTCTATATACTCAGTCTTGCGGTTTAAACTACCTATAAGAGAACGATGTTGCAAAAACCTTTCACTTGCCTTGGAATCCCAATGTAATCAACTTTTACAACCTAAGTTGTGCATGTATGTATCCTTAAATTGTTGACTTTTCCATGCCTCTGACTTAGGACCGTGTGTGTGTGTGTGTGTGTGTGTGTGTGTGTGTGTGTATGTGTGTATGTGTGTGTGTGTGTGTTATGGTAATCATTTGCTGCAAACAGCCAACAGGTTGAAAGCAACCTTATACAACAAATATCTTCAATAACTGTTAAAAACAAACATACAAAAATAGTTTGATGATGCATATATGCATTGCTGAATGCACTGGGTCAGTTGGGGTCACTAGGAGTAAATAATTTAATCCCTTATAAAAGTATGTAAAAGATTTCTGTAAAGTATTCCTCATTACTACCACATGCCATGTTTTCTGTGCTGTTCAATGAGGATGGAGCAGAACAATGAGGATGTTAGGTACATATATGCATACATACGAAACAGGCACTTATCTGATAAATACAACAGATAAGCTACAGGCAAGACAGAAACAACAAACTACAGACAGGTTGGAGACATGGTGAAAAGTGGGAAGTTCAAGTTTGGGCTTGCCGTTGGTCAAATTAACCCCAGGGGAAGTGATTTGCTTTCTTTCTGTAATGCAGCATCAATGCATTTGAATGCCTCTGAAGTTATCTTTGATGTGTTTAACTGACACATTTTGGTGCTCATGTGTGGTCATGTGAGGTACCTTTAATGTAATTAATCAACACAGATTTAGGTCATTTACAATTTATTTTTCTTTTTGTTATTCTCAAGGACAGAATATTTTTGCTGCACATACCTTTAGTACTGAGAACACTCTTAGATTTTGTTTCTCAGTAAATATTTGTTAGATGCATGAATGAGTCCTATCACCCACATAAGTTTAATTATTTTATAGCTCAGTTATCAATAAATTGTTGATTCCATTTTACTAACAAAAATTAAAAATTAATATACTTTCTCCAACATATGCTCAATTTTACCATATCAGATTTTGAGCCTTAAACATCTTCAAAATGTTAAGCCATCAATGTATTATAAGTTCTGCCAAAGTAAGTGCTAATCAATTAATTTTAATAGAGCATTGCAATTCTACTTATAAGGATGATTTTTCTTCCTGTATGTATCTTAAAATCTTATCACATGAAGAGTTATTTCAAGTTCTAGCTGAGGAGCAATATCTGTCTATATGTGGTCATGGAGAATTTTTCTTACTCCCTAAACCTTTGCTTTTTCTATTACTCTACTATTTCCTTATGGCTGCTTTTGCTTGTATGGAGCCCCTAGGTGTGAAAACAGCACCATTAGCATGTTAGGCAATCTGTGTCCATTACAGTGCCTAATACCTTGCTAACAACAGTGATAAAAATTCTGAGCTGGTAATGTAGATTCTGGTCTGTATATACCTGTGTGGCTTCACTAATTCATGACTGGGTAATTTATGTGTTTGCTGAGCTTAGGGGGTACAGGAACTATGTGTTGCTGCATATAACAGTTCTTTCTTTATTAAGGTTGGAAACTAGATTAGCTTTCCTTGGTATACTTTACTGCATCACAACCAGAACACTGAAGCAGTGTGGGTTGTCAGAAGATGCAGGAAGTTTAATGACAGGGAATGGAATTCTGTCTCTTTACCTTGAAGTCAAAACAAAACAAAAAAGTTCAGTAAATGACCATAATTAATTAATATTTCTTTTCCAGTTTCCTTTGAAGGTGAATTTCCTCCCTAATAATATTATTTCAGGCATGGTTTCTTTAATAAATCAATAATGGCTGTGTTTCATTTTCTTCACTGGGGATAAATTAATATGAATCAGTGAACCTGTGTAAGTAGCATAGAACTCTGATCAAGAGGTCAAGTTTCCTAAGACTTGTTAACAAATTTTAAGCTTTCAGTAACTTTCAATTTCTATACATAATCTATAAATATGAATATGAATAATATAAATATGAATATGAATAAATATAAATATGAATCTCTAATGGATTATTTACATCCAGAGAAACAAACAGAAAGATGTTAAGCAGAACAGGGAGAGAATTTCTTGCATTGTCACTCATAGATAGTTATATTGTTTAATAGTACACTTTTGTAGCGATTTGATTTAAGAGATGTTGAATTTAAGAGACATTAAACGTCCAAGTATTTTGCTTTCTCATTTATCAGAGGAAATTAAATTTTCACTTAATTCTAAAAAATAAGTTTTAATATGTAGGATATATTCATGTTAAAATGTAGTACAATGAGTAGTTACCCAGGTTTCCAGTATAAATATCTAAGTGCAATAATAATTACTGATAAAAGAGGCCATGAATTTGAAGAATAGGGAGAAGTATGTGGAGGGCTTTGGAGTATGGAAAGGGAAGGGATAAAGACAATTAAATTTTAATCTCAAATATAAAATAAAAATTAAAAACTGTAGTATAGCTGTCTCACTGATAAATTAGCTTTTGCTGTGTCTGGTTATTAAAAATGAAAATTCACAAACTGAGTAATTAGATGTTTTGCTCCCATTCCTCAGATGCAGAATGATTATTGTATAATTTCTGAACCAAACCACCCTTAGACTCATCACCAAGTGAGTACATCTTACACCAACTATCATGTACCAGCCTAATTATAAAATAAAATGCATCAGACTTTACATATGCCCCTTTCCTACCTCCAGCAGGCCATCAAGGCTGTGCCTACGTTGGCCTGATATTTGATTTTCATAGATATGTGAACTTCTGTTATTAGAGTATAGACTGTCAGGGTGCAAAGAGGAAGCCATGTTAATTCTGCAACCCCGTACACCTAACAACAGGGTGTGCTGAGCACTGGTAAGCTTGCAGAAAATATATATTGAATTAAATTGAATGAAATGCCTGAGGACTAATACTAAGAGTCAGGCCAATGGAAATTGACTTTCAGGGTCTAACTAAGCAGTGCAGGGAAAGATGCTGAGTGTGCAAGCCTACATGCCCAGAGGGTATGCATAGAATGAGGCTGCCAGATTGAAACCTCCACAGGAAACATATTTAATTTATTGATCATTTAATATGTATCAAGCATGCTGTGAGACATCATACGTGTACCATCTTATTCAATCAATCACAGTAAATTTATGAGGCAGAAAGACGCCTTCCTACAATATATGTGAGAAGCCTGAGGCTATATGGTAAGATGCTTCATGGTAAGACCTCACTGATTCTGCGCTTTGACTTAGTTGATTTCCTCGGTTGGTCAAGTAAAACCTCCCTGTAGCACATACCCAAGAAGGCACCTGGAGGGCAAGTAGGAAATGTTTCTCCAAATGAGAAATGTAAACGCATTATCAAACTGTCATGATTCTTCTGATTAAAATAGTTCCTAGGCAAGGCTTCCAGCGGTGGGGCTGGGTCGTATTTGGTTTAGTTGTTGGCCCAGGAGCTCCAATGGAGAGCCCTAAACAACTCAGGCTGATGCTAATACAGAAGGTCACCATCTGAAAATTGAGGGGGACCCAGTCACTGAGGACTACTTCCACTCTGCTCACTGAACATAGAGGTTGAACTGGTGTGGGCATGGAGCCTTCACTCCTGTGTTCTAGTTTCTTTAGCTCAAGATGGTTCTCGGCAGGCTATGCAAAGGGAAACCTGGACAGCAACCCAACCACAAAACCCTAGACCTATTTATTACCTGCCCTTTCAGCAGCGTGAGCTGGGGTAGTGGTAGTGCAGAACTTGTGGGAGTTTCCAATCAAAGTTTGCTTTTTAACGGGTGGTGCATCCCATGAGAGGGAGCCCATGCCTGACATTGCCTGGATGGTCAGTAGGATTGTGCGGTTTAGGAGCACTGATGCTGTCAAGTCAGGGATAATCATATTTTTTTGAACCTCATCTACTCTCACCATCAGTGGAGAGGGCTCCGCTCAAGTGAGAAATTCTGAACTCTTAAAAAAAATCAAAGATCCTTGCCGGGCGTTGGTGGTGCACGCCTTTAATCCCAGAACTCGGGAGGCAGAGGCAGGTGGATCTCTGCGAGTTCGAGACCAGCCTGGTCTACAAGAGCTAGTAACAGGACAGCCTCCGAAGCCACAGAGAAACCCTGTCTCGAAAAAACAAAACAAAATAAAACAACAACAACAAAAATCAAACATCCGCTCTCTTGCTCTCTTGCCACGTTTCTTCGAGGCAGGCCTGTGCACAACCCCTCTCCCTACTCTTTACTAATAAAACTGTTGAGTGCGGGGGAAAAAAAAAAATCAAAGAATCTACATGATTTTTTAAATTACTTTTTAATGTTGGAATCATTAAAGAATTGCTTTGGTTGTTAGAAATTTCAGTTTCTGAACAAGTTGAAGTGCTTATTGAAATTTGAAGTGCAGAAGAATCTTATGCTTAATTTTGATCAAAACCTAGCAATGTTGAGTATCCTCATCGGTAAATTTGTAAAGGCCAGGTTGGATGGAGTTGAGTAGAATTAGAGGGAGAGACATATATAACATTTATCCAAAGCATCTTTTACCTTGCTAAAGAGCTATAACCAGAATCCTATTTTTAATATTACTTATTTGTAGTATAAAGTGGCATGGAAATGTCCAAATCATTTCCAAATTATTAAAATTCTGTTTGGATGGTGTGCTGGCTAGTTTTATGTCAACTTGACACAAGTTAGAGTCACTGGAGAGAAGGGCATCTCAATAGAGAAAAGGCCTCAATAAGATTGAGTTGTCAGCAATCCATATCTCCAGAGAAGCTAGGTAACAAGGAGAACCCTAAGAGGGACACATGGATCACCCTGGTAAGGGAAATTAGATGCTGATATATCCTGGGTAAACTGGGGTAAGGGGGCAGTAAAGAGGAGGGGAGGGGGATGAGAACATGAGGGAATGAGGAGTCAGAATGGCGGAGGGGGGTTCAACGGAAGAACAATGAAAGAGATATCTTTTTTTTTTTTTTTTTTTTTTTTGGGTTTTCGAGACAGGGTTTCTCTGTGGCTTTGGAGACTGTCCTGGAACTAGCTCTTGTAGACCAGGCTGGTCTCAAACTCACAGAGATCCACCTTCCTCTGCCTCCTGAGTGCTGGGATTAAAGGTGTGTGCCACCACCGCCCGGCCCTGAAAGAGATATCTTAATAGAGAGAGGCACTATGGGGTTAGGCAGAAACCTGATGCAAGGGCAATTCCCAGAATCCACATAGATGACCCCAGCTAACACACCTAGCAATAGTGGAGAGGATGCCTAGACTGGCCTACCCCTGAGATCAGATAGAATATCATCACAGAGCCTACATTCCAGTAATCCATAGAACCAGATGCAGAGATCCACAACCAAACACCAGGCCAAGCTCTGGAAATCCAGTCAAAGAGATGGGGGATGGAATATATGAGCAAGGGAGGTGAAGATCATGATGGAGAAATCTACAGAAACAGCTGAACCAAGCTTGTAGAAACTCACGAACTCTAGACCCACAGCTATGGAATCTGCATGGGACAGAACTAGGCCCTCCATATGTGGGAGACAGTTGTGAAGCTTGGACTACCTGAGGGGCCACTGGAAGTAGGACCAGGATGTAACCCTGGTCCATAAGCTATCTTGTTGGAGTCCATTCCCTATGTTGGGATACTATACTCACCCTTAATGCATGGGAGAGGGGCTTAGCCCTATCCTTACCCCCTGTGATAAGGAGTGGTTGGGCAGAGGGGGTGGGGGAGGGGTGGGAGGAAGATATGATTGGGCTGTAGGAAAGCCATTTTCTTAATTGGTGCTTTAAGTGGGAGGGTCAAACGCATTGTGAATGGGGCTACCCCTAGGCTGGTCCTCCTGGATTCTTTAAGTAGGAGGCTGAGCAAGCCTTGAGGACCAAGCCAGTAAGCAGCATGCTTCTATGGCCTCTGCATTAGCTCCTCCATCCAGGTTTTGGTCCTGATTGAGGTCCTGTCCTAACTTTCTTCATTAATGTACTATGCATGTGCAGACATAAGCCAAATAACCCTTTTCCATCCCATGTTATTTTTGGTTATGGTGTTTCATTATAGCAAGAATAACCCTTACTAAGATGGATAGCATATCTAAAAATGGTAGAATAGACTTCTCATTAATCTCAGTTGTATTAACTTCCACAAGTAACAGTATTATTATGACATAGTTATTATCTGACCTCCTCTTGAGACTCTTATCAAAATAATGGGTTTCTTTATGATGGCCTCATCCTCAACCCCCATCCTGTCTGTGTGTGTGTGTGTGTGTGTGTGTGTGTGTGTGTGTGTTTACATTTTTATTCATTTATCTATTGATGAGCCTCTAGGCTGGTTCCATATCTTTTTTTTCATTTTTTAAATTTAAATTAGAAAGATTATTTTACATGTCAATCCCAGTTCCCTCTCCCTGCCCTCCTCACCTGACCCCGCCACCCCCAGCACTCTACCTATCCCATACCCTTTCTGCTCCCCAGGGAGGGTGAGGCCTTCAGTAGGGTATCTTTAAAGTCTGTCGTATCCCTTGGGATAGGACCTAGGCCCACCTCCTTGTGTCTAGGCTCAGGGAGTATCCCTCCATGTGGGATGGGCTCCCAAAGTAGGGATAAGTACTGATCCACTACAAGAGGCCCCATAGATTTCCAAGGTCTCCTCACTGACACCCACATTCAGGGGGTCTGGATCAGTTCCATGCTGGTTTCCCAGCTATCAGTCTAGGGACCAAGAGTTTTCCCTTGTTCAGGTCAGCTGTTTCTGTGGGTTTCACCAGCCTGGTCTGTACCCCTTTGCTCATCAGCCCTCCTTCTCTGCAACTGTATTTCAGTTCAGTTCAAGGTTTAGCTGTGGGTGTCTGCTTCTACTTCCACCAGCTGCTGGATGAATGCTATAGGAT